TATTAAAATTAATATTTATTTTTATATTTTTTTATACAAATTTATTATAAAAAAATACCCTTTAAAAAAATTCATATTAAAATTAGCAAAAATATTTATAGCAATTCGGCATAAAACACATAGGTGTGCTGTGTGACTATTGCATTTTTTTTTCCGTCCAACAAAAGAATATGCGTTCATTGTGTTAATTAAACTATCTTCACCTAAAAAAAAAAAAAGGATCTCATTCTACATACGCAATTCAATGTCTGCCACATAAGTGTTATAGAGGAAGAAGATGCATGCGTTGTATATATATACATATATAATAGTCAATTTATATATCAGCATGTATCTTGTATTTTGTCTTACATTTTGTCACGCATGATGTAGGATATGGTGTATTTTAAACAACGGAAAATGCTTATACGACAACATTTCGCAACAAGAGGGAAAGAAAATGACTGAATAATTGAATTAATTAGCTATTATTCTTTTTTTACAATATTTAATCTAGTGTAACGATTCATGCATTTTATTAAATAAAAAAATATTTAATATCACATTATATTATATTATTATATTACATAACACACTGTGACATAATTAGTTTAGGCTAACGCTTGTAAATACGCCCATAATTAGCTAAAAACCCCCTCAAGACAAAATCTCGTGCTGCATTTTGCCTTTTGCTCTTTTCACTTTTTCTTTTTGGTCTGTTTCTTCATTTGTACTGAAAGCGAAGTCACATCTCACTTGCAACACCTTATAGTATACCATGTCCAAGGTCTTGAAGACTACAACCCTATATTCCTTAAGCCCATCCTTGGAAATGAACAGTAACAAACAGTCGGGATATTTGGGCTTCAAACTTCCTAAATTAAGAATTACTTTGGTTTGTTGATATGCCCTACTACATCTCCCTCTCTCCCAACAACAATAATTTTTTTTTTTGGCTTTTTTTCTTAAATTAAGAATTTGAAAATAATTTATATTTTTACCATTATTTCTCTTAAGAAATAAATAAAGATAGAAGGAAACTTTTGGTGATTGAATGAATACTTAAAATTAAAGGAGAATAATAAAATTAAAGTAAGAAAAAATTTTCTTCTCTATAATAAAAGGAGTTTTTTTAACTTGACCGTTAGAGTACAAATTAAATACACATTCTCGTTATAAATTTACATTGAAGATATATAAACTGACATTAATTTAGTGTTATTTACCACATGAAATTGATAAATTAAATATCATTTTTAATTCTTTTAAGAGTATTAAGGGCACAATTTAAAAAACCTTTAATTAAAAAATAAAACAAACAATTAATTTTAGGCAAACTCTACATAAAAAAGAACCATTATTTAAGGCAGAGGGAGTGCAATTATAATTTGTCTGTTGTTGTTTTTGGTTTTTTTTATTTTTTTTGGGCCGAACTGTACACTGACAGTCTATACTTTATTACTTTGGTTGTTGAAAACTCGAAAAGAATAAAAGAAGTTATTACGGGCGGATGGCGATTGTGAATCTGTGAACCCATTGGTCATGGGCTTATGATTGGTTCAAACACCAAAACTGCCTCAATGGGCCTATTTAATTAAAAATAGTCCGAGCCCACATTATCATAGTGAACATAAGAAGTCCAAACGACATGCTGCATCAAATATTATCAGTGTAAAATTGTAAATATCCTTTTCTAAGTGAGTTCACAGTGTAAATATGTAAAAATGGGAGGACTTAGATTAAATATTTCAAAATAGCTCAGCCCAAAATAATAATAAATAAATAAATAAATAAATAACAGAAAGAAAAATGAAAAATAATGCAAAAGTCTCGTGACGATTTCACCATCTTGCTCAATCACATTTGTTTCGGTTGCAAAGTCTGTTTGCTGTGCTGTTAATAAGGTACCTTTAATTGTTTGTTACACTATTAAACAAAATTTTGTCCGTTTACAACTAGTTGGAATTGTACAACATGTAATTGCACCAAATCAGAAGTCCTTCTTCAGTCTGTGTCTGCACTCCGGATTGACCTGCAAAGTCCCGAGGTGGAACTCGGGGTAGACACTCTGATACTTAAGTCAGCAATAATCGGGGTTACCTTTAGAATAAAAATAAAAGGAGCTTAGGGTTGATTTCAATTACCTTTTTGACATGTCCCATGGGGGGTATTTATAGGCTTTAGTGAGGAACCCACGTGGCATGCCAAGCAAGATAATCGAAGTCTGACGTGTCTCTCCAGACGGTTATTTCGGGATCGGGAAATTGAGAGATGTTAAGATGTGAGCATGTTCATCGTAACTGCTGTGCAGCTTGTCATAAGGAATCAGGTGCGGGTTTGCTTATTGTCGCTGTCATGCAGCTGTTTAAGCGAGAAGTGTTGGATTTGTCCTTCACTTCGGTTATAAAGGAATTACTGCCATACATCTGAGGTTGGGCACCTCGGACCTATCCTTACACTATTCCCCCCTCGAAGTCATTCACTTGTGAATGATGTGGTAAGGGAAGTATATGATATCAGGTGATAAATATAATACAAGATCAGTTGATGTAAGAAGCATGTTATGTAGCTATATAATACTATTAAAGTATGTGACACTGGGTCACTGTGGCCAGAACCGAGATGAAACATATGGCATTGGGTCACTATGGTCGGAGCCGAAGTGAAATGTGTGACACTGGGTCATTGTGGCCGGAGTCGAAATGAAACGTGTGACATTGGGTCACTGTGGACGGAGCCGAAGTAAAGCATGTGACACTGGGTCATTGTGGCCAGAGTCGAAGTGAAATGTGTGACACTAGGTTACTGTGGCCGGAGCCGAGATGAAAGACTGACCGTAGTCATGTGGGCCGTAGCCAAGATGAATGTAGTGACCGTAGTCGTAGCGGCCATAGCCGAAGAGACAAGTATGACTAGAATCATTAGGTCGGTTGCCGAAGTAAAACACTTGGAAAAATTAAGAATGTGTAAAAGTGGACAGGAGTATTGAAATGGGCTTAAGTGGGCCCATCTGAGAAGCCTGACAAAGAGTTAGTACGTGACGTGATAGCTGCCCTCTGAAGGACGTGTGTAATAAATGCGGTTGTAAAAATATAACTGCAACAGTTAAACAGGCGTAATTGAAAAACGAGCAGTGGAGTTCGAAACGGTGCTGTTTGGGGTTAACTGTTAAATTCGAAACGGTGTTTTTTTAGCCATTAGATGGAATTAATCACAGCCGTTGAGGTGTATTTTTTCTTTGGTATAAAAGGCAATACTTCTATAAAAAAGGGTTTTACTTTTGCTATTTCGCTACCAAATTCTTGCTAAATTTCTACGGTTTCGTGCGGTTAACCTCTGCGCTTCGTTTGGGACTTCAACACCAGTTTCACAAGACCAAAATCAGGTAATGTATATGATTCTCTGATTTTGATTTTAACGAAGTGTCACTCTCCTTTCTCCCTTTCTGTTTTTGATTTTGAGTCCTTTGAAGGAAGTTAGGGTTGGGAGTGAGAATGATATTAAGTGTGCGTTAGAGTTTATTAAGGGTCCTGACTTCATTCCTCCTCCTACTTCATGCAGAAATTGAGGAGATGTCTTCGGAAGGAACAGTGAGTGTGGTAGGAAGTGAGGTGATGCCTCTAGAGTATGGTGGTATGGACTCAGAGAGTAGTCCGTCTCCATCTAGTTCGGAAAGGACAGTGGAGGAGAGAAAGGAGCGAGAGATAGTGGAAAAGGTAGAAGAGGAAATTCCCTCGAACATTATGGAGGTTAAGGGTGATGTAGATAGGTGTTATGACCCAGACTTAGGTATAGTATCCGAGGTGAGGGAGTATGAGAGTGAATTGGGTAGCAGCGATAGCCTTAAGGGCCTTGTAGGTAACTGCAAACTTCTTCACCACGTGTTAATTAGGCCTGCCAGGGTGAATGAGAGCGTGCTCAGCACCCCGAGATCACTGGATGCCCATGTATGTCCATTATTTGGCAGCAGGGCTTAGGTTTCCCATTCCAGAGTTACTGGTTGGGTTATTGTTAGAGTATAGTATAGGAATAACCCAATTAACCCCAAATGCTATAAGAATAATAATAGACTTTATAGTATACTGCCGAGCTCGGGGTGTTGGGGTCCCCACTGTAAGTATGTTTAAACACTGTTTCATAATAAAGTTCGGGGGTAAGAGTGAAAAGGGGTGGTATTACTTCGGACCTCGGACGTCCAGCAAAGAGAATATGAGTTTATTCACTGCTGGACCGTCATCCATTAAAGGATGGAAAGAAAAGTTTTTCTTTGTGGATGACACCGAGTGGAGTAGGAGGGAGGCCGAAGTAGAATACTTGTCTGCTTGGAAAGCTAAGAAAGTCAAGCAGAACGAGTACAAGTTAAATGAGGATGAGGTGGAAGAGGTAAGGAAGCTGGTGAGGGAGGAAGGTGACTTAGTGGATATTTTGTACCTCACCAGCTCGAAAGCGATAGAGGCTGCTGAGCTCTATGGGCCAAACTCATTGAGTGAATGTTTGTTTATTTTTGTTTTGTACTATTTATTTGAGGTTTCAGTTAGTGTGTTTTAACACTTGTATTTGTTTTGCAGCTGAGATGGAGGGTTTTTTGAACGCTGCTAGGGGGCTGGCTATCCCGAAGAAGCCAAGGAAGAAGTCAAAGACTTCAAGTGTGGCAGATAAAGGGCCAGCAGAGAGGGAACACCTGTCCAGTACTTCTGCTTGAGCTTTAGAAGTATAACAAAGGCCAGAGCCTATAAGGAGAAGCAACGAAGAGGTAAGTGAGGAGGTGGAGCCACTTCGGAGGAAGAAAAAGAAGGTGATAGAGTCGGAAGTTAGGGGGGATGAGGTGGTTGAATTCATACCTTGGCCTTCTCCTACTGAGGTTGAACCTGAAGTCAGGGAGAGGGAGGAGGCCGAAGTGCAAGGCCCTGGCAAAGGCAAGGAACTCATCCCTCCTCCTTTGTTCCAGAAGAGTTTGTTCGAGGCAAAGAACATCACTTGGGTGAAGTGGTTTCTCACCGCAACTCTTCCGGAGGTGGATAGAAGGCAGGCACGGGACGAGGCGGTGAGCCAAGTGGGGGCTCTCGTTGTGAGGCACACCCTGGAGGTATGTAAAGAAGTTATAGTTTATTTATATTTTATTTTTGATTTTTTGAATTCTGCGTTTGAGTTCTAACTTTTGCTTGCATTGTAGAGTGCAAGCTGGGTAAACGCTCTGGCGCAAAAGTATGCGGAGAGCGTGAAAGACCGCGCCAGCTTGTAGAAGCAGTGTGAAGAGCTGTGAAAGGAGAAGGAGGAGCTGCAGAGGAAGAACAAAGAGATGCAGAGGAAACTGGATGAGATTGTGCCAACAGTAACCGAGCTCTAGAGTGATAGAGATGCCTTGAGCACAAAACTTATCTTCAAAGAGCGTAAGAGGAAGATCTGCGAAGACAAGCTTGAGGCTCAAGACAAATATATTGAAAACATGAACAAAGGAGTGGCGGAGCTGAAAAAGAACGTGAATCTGCTGGTTCACAACGGGATGGAGGAACATATTGGCAACTTCCTCAACTCCAGCACTTTTGGGAGCATTGTCAACCTCTACCGACTGCCGACTACAATCTTGGTGTTCATCGACTATAGAAAGAAGGTGAAAGCTCAGTATCCCGAGGTGGACGTAACGACGGTTACCTTTGGCGATCAAGAAGAAGGGGTGAAGGAGGACGGTGAGAGTCTTTCTACTGACTTCCGACCTCAGATTAAGCTGAGGTGGGAGCGTGATGCAGAGGGATGCACTATCTTTCCTCCAGCCTTTGACGCTGAGCTCGTGGCGGTAGAGGAAGAGGAAGAAGTGCGAGATGCTGAAGTTGAGAACCAGGCAGACCCGACCGAAGTCCAGCTTCCTGAAGTTCATCCAGTTTCCTCAGATGAAGTGCAGCTGGCTCCTCATGAAGCAGAAGTGCCACCTCTACCAACTGGAGATGAGCCACCTCAACCACCTCCTCCTGTTGAGGAGCAGCCTCCTTTCTTAGTAGAATAGCTTAGGATTTTTTATTTTTTAGTTGTGTTTGTAATGAAAAATTTTGTAATTAATTTTTTATTGATTTATAAAATTTTTGAAGTTATTTTTGGTGTGTATATTTTGATGTTTGATTGCTGTTTTGTTTCAAGTAAATCACTTCGGATAAAATAAAGTGACCTTAATTGATACAAGGAACTGACCTCGGACACACAATAAAATGGGCAGCCAGGGAATTGACTTCGGATATACATGAGACGGACCTCAAATATACAAATAAAAAAAGATAAAGTAAGTCACTCCAAAAGTAAAGTGCAATTAATTAATAGAATCGTAATCCAGAAAGTGAAGTGACTAAATAAGTCACAATGAATCAACTTCGGGTATACGTGAAATTCGCTCCCAATATATAGAAGAGTAGAAAGAACTGAACCACTTCGAATGTGAAGTAAAACTCATTAATGAGATAAATGAATTGAGCTTGTATATACATCAGATTGAGCAAAAATAGAGGGAGTAATGACGATTATAAGAACAAGACAAAGTTCACTTGAAAGAAGTGTATTAAGGGTAAAACTTCTTCAAGTTATTGACATTCCAGATTCTAGAAACCTTTTTGCCTTCAGTGTCCTGTAGGATATAAGCACCTAGGTGCGGCACTTCGGCTACAATGTAGTAGGGGCTTTCCCAGTTTGGTGCTAATTTTCTAAATCGACTTTCGAACCTCGTTAGACCAGCTTTCCTTAGAACAAGGTCTTCTACTTTGAATGTTCGGGGTCGAACTCGTTTGTTGTAGAAGTTGGCTAATTTCTGCTTGTAAACTAGAGTTCGAAGTCGTGCTTCTTCTCTGACTTCGTCAAGCAAATCAAGGTTCTCACGAAGCAGTTGTCCATTTCATCCTTCATCGAAATGGGTGACCCTAAAGCTTGGGACTCCTATCTCGATAAGAATGATTGCTTTGGTACTAAAGGCCAAGTGATAGGGTGTTTCACCTATTTCAATGAACTATAATTTTAGAATGTGCTTTACGCGTTATGCATATTTGATCTAAGGTAAAACCGTAGAAGAAAAAGTAAAATGATATGCAAGTTAATCAAGTAAACCAGGTTTGAAGTAATACCTGTGGCAGTTCGGCTTATGGTTCTGTATGTCCAGAGGACGTTGTTGAGCTTGTTTGCCCACCTGGCCTTATGCAGCTCTAACCTTGGTTTTATCCCCTCAAGTATAACTTTGTTGACATATTCTACCATCCCATTAGATTCTAGGTGGTACACCGAGGTGAACTGTAATTTGATCCCATAATTGGAGCAAAAATCTCTAAATGAGGAGCAGTTGAATTGAGTTCCATTATCAGCCACAATCTAATTCGGGATTCCATATCTGAAGATGATTGAGCTGAAAACAAAGTCTTCGACCTTCTTGGAGGTAAGACTGAATAATGGCCGAGTTTCAACCCATTTCGTAAAATAATCCACACCAACAATCAAATGGGTTACACCTCCTGCCCCCTTCATAAATGGACCTAAAAGATCAAGTCCCCACTGAGAAAATGGCCAAGGTGCTACCAGATTAGTGAGCTCTTCTGCTGGCTGGTGAATTAGATGTGCGAAGAACTGACATTTCTGACACTTCTATAGGAACTGAGTGGCATCTTTATACATGTTGGGCCAATAATATCCTTGTCTAAGGACTTTATGAGCCAAAGTTTGAGCACCAATGTGACTTCCGCAGACACCTTCATGCACCTCCTGAAGTGCGTATTCAGCCTCATAAGGGTTCAAGCAGCGGAGTAGAGGGAGTGAGAAAGATCTCTTGTAGAGGACTTCATTAACAAGGGTATACCAAGATGCTTTCTTCCTCAACCTCATCTCTTCTTGTCTATCTGTAGGCACTGTTCCATCTCATAAAAGTGAGATAATTGGATCTGTCCAGCTTAGTGTGCTGGGATCTGTGTTGATTTCCATCATTTTCGGCTTTAGGAAACTAGGCTCATCCAAAATTTCAACAAAGACCGATCTAGAGCTTTGGTTGCCATCAGAGGCAAATTTGGACAAGGAATCTGCTTGTTCATTTTCAGCTCGGGGTATTTTGCTCAAACGAAATTTTTGGAATTTGGATTTTGGCTCGACCACCAGAGTTGCATAGTTTATTATGACAGGATCGACCACTTCACAGACTGAGTTAACCTGATTGACTACTAGTTGTGAATCACTGTATATTTGTATTGCTGTAACCCTCAGTTTTATTGCCAATTGTAAGCCAAGTAACAGAGCCTCATATTCAGCCATATTGTTGGTGGCATCAAAATTAAATTTCAGAGTGTGTTCACTTCGGTATCCATCTAGGCCAAATAGGATTGCACCAGCGCCAGAACCTTTGTTACTTGATACTCCATCAACATACAGAATCCAGCTGTCTAGCTCGGGCTGGGAATTAGAGCAAGTCGAGGTGCATTCTACTATGAAATCTGCAATAGCTTGAGCTTGGATTACTAACCTCTATTGAAATGTTATCTCAAATTCTCCTAGTTCAACAACCCATTTGATCAATCTTCCTGAGCATTCTGGCTTTTGTAAAATTTGTCTGAGGGGTTGGTCCGTGAGGACTATGATTGGATGTGATTGGAAATATGGTCTTAGCTTCCTGGCCGAGGTGACAACTGCTAAAGCTGCTTTCTCAACAATAGAATATCTGATTTCAGCTCCATGTAATACACTGCTGGTATAATAAATTGGCTTCTGTTGCTTCCCTTCTTCTCTCACTAGCACGAAACTGATAGCTTCATCTGATATACCGAGGTACAAGTAAAGGATTTCTCCATCATTAGCCTTTGTCAGCAAAAGGGGTGAGCTAAGATAAGACTTCATCTCGTCAAATGCAACTTGGCATTCTGAATTCCATTCCAATTTCTTTTATTTGCCAGATTCATCCTTCTGTGCTGCTAATCTCATGATCTTGAAGAATGGCAAGCATTTATCTACTAATTTCGAAATGAATCTATGAAGAGCTGCTACTCTCCTTGTTAGCCTCTGTACGTCTTTTACTAACTTCGGTGGTTCCATTTCGGCCACTACTTTGATCTTCTCGGGGTTAACCTCAATCCCCCTTCGGGATACCATGAAGCCTAGAAATTTTTCAGACTCCACGCCAAAGATGCATTTTGCTGGATTCAACCTCATTCTGTTCTTTTTAAGATTGTTGAATGTCTCCTTGAGGTCAATTAAATGATCTTCAGCTTTCAAACTCTTTACCACAATATCATCAACATAAACTTCCAGATTCCGGCTTATTTGAGCTCGGAATACGATGGTAACCATCTTTTGGTAAGTGGCACCTGCGTTCTTTACGCAGAAGGGCATCATCATGTAGCAATAGATTTCATCTCCGGCATAGAACGAGGTTTTTTCTTCGTCCTCAAGAGCCATTGGGACTTGGTGGTAGCCAGAGTATGCATCTAAGAGACTTAATCTCTCGTTTCCAGAAGCTACCTCAACTAGCTTGTCAATGTTTGACATTGGGTAACAGTTTTTTGAACATGCTTGGTTGAGATTAGTGTAATCAATGCACATCCGCCATTTGCCATTTGCTTTTTTCACCAACACAGGATTGGCAACCCATTCACAATAATCGACCCGTCTGACAAAACCAGCTTGTAAGAGCTTTTCAACTTCTTCCTTTATGACCTTTAACCTCTCCCCCCCAAAGAGGCGCCGCTTCTGGGCCACTGGTTTCTTAAGTGGATTAGTGCTGAGTTTGTGTTGAGATACTGAGGTGGGAATCCCTGGCATGTCTGCTGAGGTCCATGCGAAAACATCTTTGTTAGCTCGGAGAAAGGTTATCAACTTTGCTCTCTCCTCAGGGTTCAACCGAGTTCCTATCTGTGTTTTCTGTTCGGATCTTTTTCATCAATCTGTACTTCCTTTACATCTTCACCCGGAGTAGCTTAGGTTTCATCCTCAGGTCGGTTATCAAGGATTTCAACCCTCATCACTTGCCGATTGTCATGGATTTTTTGTGGAGGGTTCTCTGCTGGTTGATCTGTGTTGTTCTGTGGCATTGTGACCGAAGTGAGATAGCAATATTTGGCCACTTTCTGGTTACCTTTGAGTGTTGCAATTCCCATGGGGGTTGGAAATTTCATGCAAAGATGAGATTGAGAAACCACAGCTCGGATTTCTGTTAATGTGGGTTGACCAATGACAACATTGAAAGAAGAAGGCATCTGGACTGCTAGAAACCAAACTGAGGGAGTCACATAGGTTCGGCCACTTCCAAATGCAACATTCATGGTTAGGACCCTTTCAACTTGAACTGGTTGGTTGTTGAAGCAATATATGGGACCATCGTAACATTGTAGCGGAGTTGGGTCGAGCCTTAGGCTTTCAAAACAGTGGTAGTACATGATGTTAAGTGCACTGCCAGTGTCAATAAGTACACGCTGGACTTGACAGTTGTTGATCATTACTGAGGTGACCAAAGGGTCATTGTGAGGTATTACCACCCCTTCAAAATCGACGGGTGTAAAAGTGATTGGTTGATCTTTTCAGTCAGCATCATCAAGTTTCCTTTTCTGAGCTCGGTTCTGGTGCTTTACCTCTTTGACATATAACTTTCTCTATTTGGAGTTCAACCTTCCTGCTTCCAATCCCCCTGTAGTCATGTGCATAATTCTGGCTGGTGGTGGAAGTGGAGGTGGGGCTTGTTGATACCCCATTCCTTGCCTGTTTGGTGGATTATGAATTCCTTACGGCTGTGACCCCTATTCTCTGACAAATCTTGGCTGTTCAGCTCTCTGGATATACTCATTCAACATTCCTTTCTAAGCTAGACTTTTCAGTTCGGACCTCAAACTGTTGCATTGCTCTGTTATATGACCGTGATCTTGATGAAAATCACAATATCTAGTATGATCTTGGGTAGTAGTAGCAGTTCTTATTGGGCCCAGACGCTTTAAGTCCATCTTATTCTTAATTTGCATGAAAATTTGTAACCTTGACAAATTAAAAGGAGTCGAAGTAACTGGAGGTTTACCTGCAGATTGTTGTGGAGGTGCTGAGTTTGGCCTTCCGAATCTCGGTGTGGAGGTCGACACCGGACCTCGATTCTGTGCTATCCTCATCCGTTTCCTGCTCTGATTCTCATTTCTCCAGTCTAGGTTTTGGTTCTTAAAGGGGGCTGGCTTCTGTGACAAGGCATATTCCTTAGCAGTTATGAATTCAGGGACCTATCATTCACCTCATTAAAGGTTGTAGCAGGATGCTTGATCAAACTATCTCTAAATATCTCATGGTTAAGACCTGAGATCACAGCTACAATTCCCACAGCCTGGTCGAAAGAGCTAACTTCCAGCACTGCATCATTGAATTTGCTCATGTAATTCTTCAAAGATTCTCCATCCCTCTGTTTAACTTGCATAAGCTCAGAAATAGTTTTCCTGATCAACCTTCTATTGAAAAACTTTGTGGCAAAGGCAGATGCTATTTCTGTATAAGAGTTGATTGACCTCGGAGGTAGACTGTAATACCAAGTTCGAGCATTACCTCGGAGAGTAGAGGGAAAGATTTTTCACATCAATGCGTCAGAGGCGTTCTAAGCTTGCATACAAGAGTAAAAAGCATGTAGGTGATCATCGGGATCCTTCGTCCCATCATAAGTCTTAAGCTGAGGTATTTTAAAGCCAGCGGGATAGGGTTCCAGTGTGATGTTGGTGTTCAGAGGATGGGGTATGGAGTCACTATTGTGGTGTAGAGATAGGGCACCTCGCTGTTCAGCTACCAGTTTTTCTAAGTTGTCCAGACGTCGAGTGACATCATCAGGAAGGGGTTGTTGAGCTGGTGCTATGTGAGACTGGCCCTAAGACTCACTGAGAGTGGGAGCATGCTGAACTGGTTGAGGGTCTTGCTGTGGAGCAAGGTTGAGTAAATTAATGAGGGGATCACCAGGGTTGTTCCGAGCTAAGAGCTGAGCCAATACTAACTGAAAGACACCAAACTGTTATTGCATGGCAGCAAGCTGAGCTGTAACTACGTCTTGGTTAGCGGTGGAAGCTGAGTTGTGAGCTGAGTTGTGAGCTGAGTTGTGAGGTTGATTTTCATCTCCTCCTTCTGCATGATCAACAGAAGGGAACATATTTGGCATCTAAGGTGGGAGGGGAGGTGGAAGGTTGTTGGGGAGTTGACCCTGTCCAAAAGGCTGAGATGGATTTCCAGCTCAGACTGATCGAGTGTTAACCATTATGAGAGAGCAACAAGAGAGCTTTCAGTTCGAATTCCCACAGACGGCACCAAATGTAATTGCACCAAACCAGAAGTCCTTCTTCAGTCCGCGTTTGCACTCCGAATTGACTTGCAAAGCCTCGAGGTGGAACTTGGGGTAGACACTCCGATGCTTAAGTCAGCAATAATCGGGGCTACCTTTAGAATGAAGATAAAAGGAGCTTAGGGTTGGTTTTAATTACCTTTTTGATGTGGCCCCTGGGGGGTATTTATAGGCTTCAGTGAGGAACCCACGTGGCATGCCAAGCAAGATAATCAGAGTTTAACGTGTCTCTCCAGATGGTTATTTCAGGACTGAGAAATTGAGAGATATTCAGATGTGAGAATGTTTATTGTAACTACTGTGTAACTTATCATAAGGAATCAAGTGCGGGCCTGCTTATTGTCGCTGTCATGTAACTGTTTAAGCAAGAAGTGTTGGATTTATCCTTCACTTCGGTTATAAAGGAATTACTGCCATACGTTCGAGGTTGGGCACCTCGGACCTATCCTTACACAACAATTGTTCTATTTTAGTAATTTGTGTGAACTAGTGTTCTCTACGAGGTTTTTCCAATGTCATTCTTAATGGAACAACAGTAGTGAGGCTTTCACCGACGAGCAAACGGGTATTGACTTCTAAATTTCATTACTATTTACTTGTTCTCATGACTAGTTGCATTATCTTTAATTAAAAATGTCCTAGTTTCATTACATTTGTTGAGGGAGACAACAAATGCAACTCAGCCTTAGGATTAAAACATGCACCCAAAACTGAAAAGAAATGCTACCAGTGTGCGTAGCATGATCTTGCAGGCACTTGAGATGGTGCCAAAGAAGATACATCAAAGGTCTCCCATATTTCTTGGCAGTTAGCTGATGTTGAAGAAATTAGAGTACCGATAAGAAGAAGAAATAAATGTACAAAGTACTCTCTAGCTTTCCTGTGGTACTTAACATAGCCTTATATGTTATTCTTGATTTTAATAATTTGAAAACCAAATGTGAATTAGAATATATTATTTATTGAATTGATTTGGATTGGAAGTTGATTTACTTGTGAATATATGATTTATTCCTAATAATATTGAATTAATTTTCAAATATTAAGTTTTGAATATGTTTCCTTTTTGGTGAAAGTCCATTTAATTACATGATTATATTTACTTGTTGTAGGAAGCCGAAAACCAAAAATGCATTCTACAGTTAAGGGTCTAAACCCATTCTTGGGACAAGGTTTAGAACCCTTGATAATTTTGTTTTTTACCCTAAAGGTATATTTCAACCTTTCATGTTGAAGACTTTCATTAACTTACCATACTTTGGTTATATTCTTTTCAAATGAGCTCCAATGGTCATGAAACATTGATTGAGCATTCTCAAGCTATAAAACAAGATCTAGAAGAATGGAGAAGGCACAAAAAAATAGGCCTTTCAAGTTGAAAAACCAAGAGTGATTGAGCTTCTATTTTGTGCCTTGAGAAATCTATTATTTTCTTGTTCTCTTTCATGGTAACAAGTGAGAGAGGGATTGGGGAAACCTTGTTAGATCTAGGAATTTATCCTTGAGGTATAGGAAGGGCTAAGAGATTTGTAACAAGGGAATTGAATGATTCAATAGCACTAATCTATTAGAAAGTGATTGGGTAACCTTATTAGATCTAGAGAAAACCAACCTTATGGTATAGGATTGGGTTTGTAAGAGATTATAACAAGGGGTTGAATTGTTGAAAGTAAATAGTGCTGACAAAACTATTGCAAATAGTTGCCTCAACACTTGAAAGTTGAAGAAAAACTTTTGAATTCAAAGCAAACTCTCAAGCAAGCGGCTTGAGGAATCAAATAGGCATAAATTGTGACCAAACCACTATAAATCCTTATATTTGAGCTTTCTCTTCCCTTAACTTTTAATTCTGCTCTTTAAATTAGTTGTTTGCAATTGTTTGTGCTTGCTCATTGTTTTGCTTTTTAAAATTGCATAAAATTTTTGAAAACCCAATTCACTCCCCCTCTTGGGTTGCAATCATCTGAGCCAAGATTAGAGACCAAATTCTAATAATCTTTGTTCATAGATTAGGACAAAATATAATTTTTAACTTTTAACATTGACTCTATAACTGTAATAATGATACAAACAGTTATGTTGATGTTTTATTTGGAGTAAATGTAAATTTCCTCCAAAGATTATATTTCAACATCGATCACTTTATTTAGTGTATAAACAAGATAAAATGGGGAAACACAATGATGAGTTTTATATATAAGCGCATTCAAGTTTAAGTTCCAAACATATATATACACATTTCAAACAAGCATATGTTATACAAACAGACACTATAATCTATATATGAAAGTCTAAATTTTTTGTTTTCTTGAAAAGCAAAAGAATTTTATTAAATGAGTACAAGGAGTACTCAAATCCATAAACATCAGTATGAAAAACAAAAGCTAATAGTGGGGCCTAAAAACAAAGAAACAAAAGCCACCCCAATCAAAGAACTTGGGAACCAACTTCCCACCTAGTCTCTATTTCCTATTAGCCAAGCATCTCACTAGTTTAGAAATCCATTCCATAAAAGAAATGTATTCTAGGTTCAATAGAGTTCTAACCTAGTGAAATGAGTAGATTTGTACCCGTTCAAACAATTTATCCTCATTAAGCTCCTTATGTTGAAAAGCAATTTCATTCCTACTCAACCACAGTGACCATACTATGGCAAACCATATCATATTCCAACCCTTTTTCAGACTTTTTGAACCCTTATGCCATCTATGCTAGTGAAAAACCTCCAAGCAAGTGTTCTCAAGAACATAGTGTAACCCCCACCAATTGAGGCATCTTGTCCATAATTTGAAAGAAAATTTGCAAGATACAAAAAGGTGGTCTATATGTTCAGGAAATGAATCACACCAAAAACACTTGGTATTTTGATTAGCATCTAAAATTCCACGTGTTGCCAAATTAACCTTTGTAGGGATTCTATCTAAAAAGTTGCCATAAAAAAGCACTTACTTTTGATGGTACCTGTCCACCCCACAACTTTCTATACTCCAATAGTTTATCTTCATCTTTTTTAACAAGCCATATGTATGCCGAACTTGTAGTGTATTTTCCTCCAACATCTAGCCTCCAACATCTAGCCTCCAACTCCAAGTGTCCTCAGCATGTTGTGTTGTTCCTCGTAAAATAAATAGAAGAAAAATAGACAAAAGATTCACAAAAAACAATTAATTAAAGATGAAAATAAAAAGTAGAAAGATGTCACCGAAAGTATGAGGAGCTTGAGCTGAGGCGTGGATCAATCACTCTCTTTAAGACGTTTCGTGCCACTGATGCAGCAGTTTTTTATGGTCACGCCGCCCCCAGGATACAACAGCCGAACCTCCTTGTTGTGTCTTTACAAGTACTGCATTCTTGTAAAGAAAGCTCTACCCCATCACCTTTTCCTTGCCTAAAGAGAGTTTGTATATTGTGTTTGTGAAATAAGAATGCAGATCATAAAATTGTATCAACCTTTTGGTAGAAAAGGAGGCTGCCTATTTATAGGCTTTCACCCAGCCACATGACCGGAGTCAATTAAAACGAGAAACGGTTGGAATTAAAATGGCATATGTCAGTTACAAAGAATTGAAACTGGTGAATAAAATAGATTTTGAAATTGGTGAATGATTTCCAAAATGTTACCGGCTATGAATTAGTGTCGCCGGTTATAGTACTTGATTTTATTCTTTTAAGAAACGCACAATACCATTTCTTTTTAAAAAAGCAAGAAGGCATGGATTTGTAACTGACACAAGATTGATTTTTTTTTTTTTTTTGAAAACAATCAATTTGTAACCGGCTGGAATTGATTTTGAAAATAATCGATTTGTAACTTTTTAATTAAAATCTCCAACATGTTGCACCAGTGTTTTGTCTTTTATGGCCTTGATCAATTGTTGCAATGTGTCTTCTTCCCAAGCTCGAAGTGGTATACTCCAATGGAACTTCCAACTCCAACACCCCTCTATCCATCGTCCCATATTGTATATGCTGCAGTTTTTTTCTATAACCAATGAAAAAAGTCTAGGAAAAGCATTAGCCAAATGACTCCCCCTCCACCCATACATCTTTCCAGAATCTAACGGTCTTCCCCTCCCCCAAATTTGTATGAAAGTCTAAAAATTGTTCAATACACAC